CGGCGGAGACCTGTCGGTGAGCTCGGACTCGGATAGCTCCCAGGCCAGCTCCAACGCCGGGAACCAGCCCATGCTCTGGCCCGCCTGGGTTTACTGCACTCGGTACTCGGACCGGCCCTCCTCAGGTAAGAGCTGCCCCCCAACTCCCGACCCCCTCTCCATCCCCCCCCTGCTCCTCTTCGCCACCCCCGTCCCCCTCCCCGGGCTCCCCTGTCGCCTTCGCCCGCCCGCGGGGCCGGGAGCGCGGCGGGGAAAAGGCTCCGCGGCCCCCTCGTTCCGCTCCTCTCCTTCTTGGGGTCTTTTTTTCTTTTTTTTTTCTCCTTTTTTGGGGGGAGGTGGGTGTCTGAGATGAAGGAATAGCGCTTTTTTTTGTGTCTGTGGTGGGGGGGAAGTCGAAGGGGTGGCTGAGGATGCACGGAGCCGGAGGGACGAGCGAGGGGTCTCCCGGGCTGGCCGGGCATTTCTCACCGACCGCCGGCTTTTATCAAAGAGGGAGGAAAAAAAAAAACACCAAAACAACCCGTATCGGTTGATTTTGGGGCTCCCCGCACCTCTTTCCGGCGAGCTGCCCTTCTCCCTGCCAGGAAAATCCCCCCCGCGCTGTGTTTTGGGGAGGGGAGGGTGGATTTCCGCAGGCCTGGCCTTGCTTTGATTATTTTTGCCTGGCCAAAAACAATCCGCGGGCGCTTATTTCTCTAAAAGAGGCCTCGGAGCAGCCGCCGTTTCGTTTCTTTCTTTTAATTTCCTCCCCCCCCCATCACCTCCCCCCCCCCCATGTGCTGCAGGTCAGCTCTGGAGGGGCCGGGGGACATTTCCAAGAGCCGGGGAACTTCTTTGGCAGAGTCCACCTCTTGGCAAGGGCTTGGGCAGAACCTCCTGAAATTATCGATAAAAACACTGGGGGGAAAAAAAGATAATAATTAAAAAAAAAAAAACAAACTGGGGGTAAAATGTCCTTCTGCTACCGCGGGGAGAGCAGGACTGGCCCCGGCAGATTGATAAAACCCTCGTGAAAAAGAAGTAGAAAGCATTGGGGGGAAGCACCACGCAGGAGAACTGCTCCCAGGGAAAAAAAAAAATAATGAAAAAAAAAAAAAGTTTTTCTCTTACAAAAGCAGCGAGCCAGGATTTTCACCCGGAGAGCCGGCCAGCTGAAGGAGGGATTGTAGGACGAGTTGAAAATTAGTTGGTAATGTCTGAAAACAAACTCTTACTCAGAGGTAATATTCAGGGCTGAATTGGAATTTACTCCATTGTTCTCCAGTGCTCTCCTTTGTTAATATTTAATTAACATACATCCTCACAATGGCTCGGCCCGGGCAGAAAAGGCTCCTTGTGCTGCCGAGAATAATATTCCCGAGAATAATCCCGGCGATTCGGATCGGGCCGTGCAGCGCCATATGGGCACTGCAGCAAAGCGCCGGGTTTCTTCTTCTCCCAATGTAAACAGGGGGCTGATTGCCATTTATTTTATATATTTTTTGATGGCGTCCCACTAAAAATAAAAATTAAAAAAAATTAAATAGGAAAAAAAAAAGGTTTCCTCAAAAAAAAGAAAAAAAGAAAAAAAGGTTTTATTAAAAAAAATATATAATCTGCTTAGGGAATAAAATTGAGCTCCGTGCCGCTGCCTCCCCTCTGGTGCAGGATTTACTTGCCGGGATGGAAAAGGTTGGGAAACGTGTTTCTGGTTGGGGTGAAAGGGGATGCGGGGGGGGGTGAGGGGGGGATGTGCGGGTCCCCTTCCGCCTCCTCCCGAGCATCCCCCGGCAGAAAGCGGGGTTTATTTTTCTTGGGGAGGTCCGGAGGGGGTGGTGGTGATGG